CTCTGCATCAAATCATTAAACTCATCAGCATGCCAAGATTCTAAATTTTGCTATAAAAACACCTGGAATTTCAAAAATTTAACTCTTCAATAATACTAAGAATCATCTAGACTACCCTCACCCTGTGAACATATAACCCCCTCCTAAAATCTCAGACCCATTGCAAGAGATAAAAGTTTGCAAGTGTACAGAACCTATAATACTAGTACACGTTCCGTAAAAGATATTTGCTAAAACAGATGAAGATAGTAACTCCACTAACCTTCAGCACGCTTCAAAGCATTCTCTGGTTTGGCAAAAGTCGCCATTTCGATGATCTTTCACCTGCAAAGGAACAGTTGGATGAGACAAACGGCAGAGAAGTTCATCAACACAGGCAAAACCATATATGTTAAATCCATATGCACAGTAGTAGCATTTCTAGGAAAACCTACAACAAAACCCAATCAATAGTTCAAACAGGTCAGAACTTTAGCTTCTTTGTCCTCCCCAATCCACCCCACCACACCCCCCTAAGAAACAAAATATCATACCAGAATACTGTTTTTTTATCAACCTCATCTTATAACCAAGAAATCTCTAAACTAGGTGCCCGCCTACTACACCATTCTCCACTTAAACACCAAGTCTTCTTTCAAACCCGCGAGGTGCGCCTAACCCACACAACACAAATTACCCTCTCACCACTCGACCCAAAACCTAGAAAAGGTTTCTTTATCATCTTTTATTACCTGGGCACAAATCTAACAGAACCCCATCAATCAATTTAATCAACTAAGCTCTACCCCAAACCAGTAAAGTCAAACATATTAATCCTCTACATCCACTCCGCTCTAATTCATCCATACCCAAATAGGAACAAACAAGAAAAATCAATAAAAAAACGACAAAAATTTCAACTTTCATTCTTTCCATGTAAAGAAAAAGAACCCCACATCATAAATCGGAAGATTCAAGTACGTAAACACATCTATAAATCCAAATGGGAATTTCACACATATATGTAACCAAATCTACTCATACCGGATTGAAACTGTACTAAAAATTTGCAAATTTTTAAGAAAACAGATGATTGTATGTGATAATTACCAGTGGATTTTGGATGCTTTGTGGGTGCCGCAATCTCCTTCTCTCTCTATTGTTTGCCCTAAAAACTTGATATGATGTGAGAGAGAGCTAAGTGAGAGCAAAATATGATGTGTTACAAGGGTTCAACGAAACTGGTCCTTTATTTTATGGAAACGCTACTTTTACCCCCAAACTTTTGTGAAATGCGGAATCTAATAAAAATAATTATATCTACATATTTTATTTTTTGTAAAAATTACATAAATCTCGTAGTGTTAAAAACTAATTACATTTTATTTCTATTTTTTTTAAATTACAAAAACTTTTAAATTCAAGAATTTCAGATACATCAATAGACATGTGGATACATAGGTCGCGAGACATTGCTATTTAGGAAACTTGTGAATACATACCGAGGGAGAGAGGTGTATCCGACAGGGGAGGGATGTATCAGAGGGGATAAGGATGTATCCAAGAGGGGATACGGATCGAGAGAGGATAGGAATGTATCCGAGAGGAAAATTTTGTAAAAATAATTTAAATGGTATGAAATTTTAGAGATTGTGGTAAAATAAGATGTGTATTTGAGTAATTTTAATTTATATTTTTGTGTTACACTCACATAGCCCATTTTCTTCAGCAACGATGTTTATATAATATTATATAACATTATATATTTACTGTACACAATGTATAAGCTTGTATAAAAATATACAATAGTGTATATTTATACACATTTTACATTGTTATAAAGTTTACACAAAATAATATGATATATTTATATATACACTGTAAAAATATATGCTAATTTGTGTTTTCCAAGATGAATCGGGGTAACACCCTCTGTTTTAATTCATTTGTTTGATTGTAATTGGTAGAAAGTAAAACTAACTTTTGAAATTTTGATCTTAAACTAGAGATATGTAAAACGCACTTAAATTTTTTTTAGTTTTGTGATCATAAACATGTCACATTAAAAATTAAAATTTTAAATAATTGCCAAAAAAACAAAAAAAAAAAAAAAAATTCTTTTGGCAAAAATTCATTGTTATGACTGGACCATCTTATTTACAAGAAAAATGGTTGAATTAGTAATTTAGTCATACCCTCCTTCGTTCTACTTTAGCCATTAATGGTTTTTTCCTCTTCTCTTTGCTGCTTTTCAGTCTTCCTTCCTTTTTCTTCGATGATCAATCTCGATAATTAAAGTTTCAAAGTTTGATTTAAAATTTTGATGTAGCAATCGTTTCGAGCGAATTATATATCAAAAGATTCAAAACATCAACAGAATTTCATATTTAAAATTTGATATTGTTTAGAAGAGATGTTGAGTTGGACATGATCAAATAGAAAGAAGTAAAATTACTTGCAATAAAATCGTTTTTCTTCTGGAATCACCTCCTTAATCATAATCAATCTTCCATTTAACTATTTTTCATCCCTTTCCTTCTTCTTCAATTAGCCTAACAAATATTCAGAAAAGATTAATTCAATAAATAGTCAGTGTATACCTCATATGTAGTTAAGTTATATTAAACTTTTTTAGTATATCATTATGTATAATCAATGTATAACTCAAATATGAATAAGCTAGATTCTGCTTTTGAATGTATCATAATGTATAGTCAATGTATACTTTCAATGACTTTAGGCTATTTCTATGTAAATAAAAACATGATTATATTTGTCATAAACTAGGTACTTTATTGTAAATATTTGAAACAATCCCTTTTTTTAATTACTAATTTTATAATGTATCAAATACAAAATATTTGCAAGGTTGAGATTTGTAAAAGGGCCACATCAAATTTTAAGCTGAGACACGAATTACAACAAAAACATACCTAGTATAATCTCACAAATGGAGTTTCAGGAAAGTGGTTTGTACGCAATCTTAACCCAACATTGCGAAGTTAGAGAAGTTTCCGATAGATCTCGATGCAAATAAAACATATCAAAATCAAGTATGAAAAATATAGTATATGTAAATAGTCTTTTTGAAGTATATTTTTTGTTTGAAAAGCTTTGACAAAGAAGGTGCACCAAAAGTTCAGAACTTTTTGGTCTCTTTACTCAAAGGCTTAGGCATCATTACAAAGAGAATCTACCCAACTAGGCCACTACATAGTCAATATATAAACTTTATGCTTGATGCTATTACTATTTAACTGCTCTTTAGATTCTCAAAGAGGCAACAAAGTTTCTCTTTTGACATCGACGATCAGCTTGAACGCACCTCGACTAATGCACGAGGCCATTTTGTTTAGTGTCCAAGCAACAAATCATAGGTAATCCTGCTTACCAAGGCTGAAGTAGATCAACTTACACCAAGTCTTGCAGCTAAGATTTGAATATGATACATCTAAACACATGTCTGAACCACAACAAGATATCCTAGGTTCCTAAACAAGCTAAAACAATGAATGCCCCAGCTAGCCAAACAAAAACACACTCTAAGTTACTAATGCCAGATTTCCGTCTAATTATCAATGAAGAAACATCAAACATGCTTTGAATAAAATTAGAATCCAATTGAAATTAAAGATGAGGAGCAGTTATGTGAATGAACAATGTCACTGCTTCGAATTGGAACATATTACTGGTTCAAACATCTAATGTGTGTCTCTGATCCCATCTTCATGGATTTGGATGATATTGAGGGACATGACATATATTCTCTGATATAACTAACATTGTGAAAGAAGCTGGTGACTACAGCTTAAGACTAAGCCGGGGACGTGATTTGAACTTGGAAGACGTTCATATTCCCAACCATATCTCTGAGAAGAAGTCCGTACCTCAAACATTTCAGCACAATACAGTAATAAAGGAAAGGGAGGAGCCATATTTCTCGGGATACCTCATTAATCTACTTCAGAGTTTACTATCATACATCAATGAAGCAACATCATTTGCACACACTTCCCTATAGTCACTTACCCACCTTCCTGAGCAGCCAAGAGCAATATGATTCCTATACCAAGATAATGCACCCTATTGATGTCTCGGACAAGTCATCAAAGGCTTCATAAAGCTCATGTTGACTGAAAAACTGAAGTAAATTTTAAGAAAGAGGAAAACTATTTACCAGCTTGAACAACTGAAGTGAAGCAAAATGTGGTCAGCATGATCCAAGGACTCATGAAAGACCGACTTTGGCCTTTAGGTAAACTTAGCCACTTGGAGCTAAAGACTTATCCAACTTGTCTAAGGAAACAAGCTTGTACAGTGAATCTTAATGAATCTGCAACCAATACAATGATTACAGGACTTGAAGTTAATATGATCGAAACAAACGAACCAACAAAAATCAGAAGAACAAGACATACCTTCTGAGTTAGGGCTCAATGCATTCATCCAAGCTAACTTTAATTGAACTGAAATTCATGAAAACAGAAAACATGCTTGCAATCATGCAGATTTTTTCCCAAGCTACCTAACTTTATCCTCGTCCTTAGTTAAACTAAAGGTAGGGAAGGAGAACCGGGAGGTTGATTGATTATGCCCTCCAGTATGCATTCATAGTTCGGGCCCAAAATTTTCAGGTCAAGTGGATTCATACAAGAAACTTATATTAACTAGGATGATTTTACTATGTTAAGTTTTCAGTTAATTTACCAGCTAACAGCTACCCCTACCCCTATATCAAGTTCTTCTTTATCCCAATGATTTTGGTGTTTCTTGCATTGGAATTTTCATGTATTATAAGAAAAGAGAAATGAGGCTTATTGGAGTGAGCTTGCAGTGCTGAAAAGGAAAATGGTGTGCACAGATAAATGTAACTGAAAACATTAGTCTCACAGGTCAAAGGGTGGATGAACAACAACTTAATTGAGAGACAGCTTCAGAAACTTTAAAGAAGCAAATAACATATACATGCTCTGTATCCTTCTGATCAAGAAAAACCACTACCATGGTCTGTATCCTTCTGATCAAGAAAAACCACTACTTCTGACATTAACTTAGTAAGATGGCTTTGATACAGTTAGAATTCTGTGTTGCATGTATCTAAGAACAGAAATCAGTGACAATATATGAATACATTACTTAAGCCTTCTAGAGAACTGTATTAAGCTGGGAAATGTCCACAGTGTTTGAGTTGTAACTCATTAAAGAGATTATTTCTGAGATGGGCCAAAAAATGAAACCATTATCAAACTGAGTGGACAAAATTAGACACTGATTACTATTATAGCAAGCAACTGATACAGTTTGATTCCTACTTTGTGGGACCTCTACTTTGGATGATTTCTTTATCCCCAGTATGTCCTTTTTGGGTATCTGCTATCTAGGACACTGCCAAGAGTAGCCAGTGCATCTTGGAATTTCCGGATTTTCAGGAAACCTTTAATCATAGTAACCTCACTGTCTGAGAAGTTTGCTTTTTTCATGATCATGCCAACAAGCTTAACTAGCGTGTCCTCCCTCGACAAAGAATACAGTCCTTCAGCCAGATTGTAGAATGAGGAAAATTCAGGTATGTGTCCTTTTTCTATCATCTCAACAGAAAAATCAACAGCTTCTTGAATCGGTCCCCCACCAGAAGAAAGACCACGAAAAACAATTTTGTAAGATAAAGCATCAGGAGGATTAGCTGTTTCCTGCATTTCTCTGAAGAGTCTTACGGCTTCATTGGTTTTCCTCCGTCTGAAGATTGCTTGAATTACAGGGTTATAGGCCTGAGGGGTCAAAATCATTCCTTTCATTTGAATACTCCTGAGGAGCTTGCTCGCAATCTCAACCCTACCTGCTTTACATAGTCCCTGTATTAAGGTCCCATACGTAACGATGTCTGGTTCACAGCCATTTGATGTCATGGTTTGCACAATGTCTGCAGCCTTTTTTATATCACCTGCTCTGCAGAAATGAGCGAGAATGGAATTGTACGTGAATTTGTCAGGCTTTAGTCCTTCCAGTATCATCTGGTCCATAAGCTGAGCAGCATCTTCTACTCTCTTGCTCTTACAGAGACCATCAATCAGAGTGTTATACGTGACCAGGTTTCTAGAAACCCCTTGTAGTTCCATCTGGTCGAAAATCTCTTCTGCTTCTTCAATTTTCTTGTCTTTGCAGAAGCCATCTATCAGAGTATTGTATGTTATCACACTTCTTGCACAGCCACTCGATTCCATATCTTTGAGTAGGTTCAAAGCTTCACCTATTCTCCTTTTGGCACAGAGACAATCAATTAGGATATTATAAGTGAACTCGTCTGGCTGGCAACCTTTGTCCTTCATTTCTTCAAACATTTCCATTGCAACATTGAAATTACCGGTAAAGCAGAGACCTTGTATGAGAGAATTGAAAGTGCAAACATCAGGTAAGAACCCTTTGTTCGTAAGAACACGAGCAAACTCGGTAGCTTCTTGGACTTGGTTCTCCTTACACAAAGCACTAATGATGGTGTTATAAGTGACTGTATTAGGTGTACAGTCCCTTACAAGCATCTGATTGAGAAGTTCCATAGCCTCTTGGACTTCACCAACTTCACAAAGCCCAGAAATCAAAATATTATAAGTATATACATCAGGATCAAACCCGTCCTGCAACATTAAATCCAAAATATCCAAGGCTTGGACAGCGTGTCCTGCTTTGCACAAACCATTTATCAAAGTGTTGAACGTAAATTGGTCCGGAGAAAACCCTCGACTACACATATCTTGCACAAAGTTCAGAGCTTCATCAATCCTTCCTTCTTTACAGTACCCATGAATCAAAAGATTAACAGTAATATTACTTGCAAGACATTTAGCTGACACCATTTGATCCCTAATTCTCAATGCACCATCAAAATTCCCTTCCTCAATATAACCTTGCATTATCGTCGTAAAGGTCCTTTCATCCGGTACCAAACCGTGCATAGGCATTTCCTCCATCATCAAAATAGCAGGCCTAATCTGATGTGTCTTACACAAAGCTTTTATCAATATATTAAAAGTCGATACATCTGCCTTTACACCTTCATCCAACATTCTACTATGCACATTTTCAACAAATTTCAACTTATTCCCATCAACAAGAACATTCAACAACAAATTATAACTAAAAGTACCAGGCTTTACACCAAACTCATTCCACATCATATCAAGAACCTTAATAGCTTCATTATACAACTCAAATTTAGCATAACTTTCAATAAAGATAAAGAAAGTACCTTCAACTAATTCAACCTTCAATCTCTTCATATCATCCAATACCCCTTTCATTAAATCAAAAGATCCCACATTTCCAAGCTTCCTTAGAATCTCCTCGTATATAGACAAAGTGGGTGTGAAATGGGGTTGCTTAGAAGCCCATTTAAAGAGATGAAAAGCTGAAGTTTCATCATTTTCTTGACGAAGGGTGTCGAGAAATTGCTTTGGAGTGAAATCTTGCAAGAGTTCTTTTGCTTTAGAAGGTAAAACAGTTGAAGAAACACGTTCATGGCGAGATGAAAATGGGAGAGATATGGGTTTAGGAGGATGAAATGGAGGAGGAAATGAAAAGGGGTTTGGTGGATTTTGAGATTGAGTCCATGGATGGCATTTGAGGAAGGAAGAGAAAGAGAAAGCCATTGAAGCAATTCAACAAACAGGTAGCATGCGGTGACACTAATTCAAGAATAGCTCAGTGAAGAAGAACAGAGGCTTTGAGAACCAAAGATGCTAAGTGGATAAAAGTAACTCTTTCTCTTAACAAGATTACAAATTGTTAGTTGATAAGATTAGTTTAAAATTGTCCAAGTGAGTTTAATCCTATGTACCAATAGAATATTATGCGTTTTCTATGTTGGATCTTGCAAAGAGAGAACTTGTTTTTTTCTCTGACTTTCTCTCTTATTCGCGGAGCAAAGAAAGCGGGTTGTTTAAATGGGTTGTTTAAGCGGGCTGGGTGGGGGGAGAGATATTGTTGGCGGAGGAGATCGAGGAGAGGCCGATGGGAGAGAAAAATATTTGATTGTTTTGGAGCCTTAATTGGAATGTTTAAATTTAAAGATTATTAATCAATCTTAATTTTAAGAAATGTGTGTAATCTATTAGTATCTTCAATAATATACTGAGTAAATTATTATTAGTGGTAATATGTGTAATTATTTAAAAGTAAATGTATAATTAATATATATGGTAGTGGTGTATGAGCCTGTTTAGATTGGCTTAAACAATATAGTTTTTTTCAAAAATAACGCTTTGATACCATTTAATCATAATGTAATAATGTTCTAATACTACTTGATAAGAATCGTGTTTGTAATTCAAAATTTTGATGATAAAAAAAAATTCAACAACTAAGAACATCCTCAACTCCCTCTATTTACTCTCTAAACTCTATATATAACGAAAAAATAAAGAACATCTCGAACTTTACTCTAATTTACCCCTCTAAACTCTATATTAGGAGAATTACTACTCATCCTCTCTATTTCACTTTTTAACTTGTAGTTCTTCAAATTTAAAAGATCAAAATAAATCTACTCCAATAAATAAGGGGCTGATATAAAATGGATGTCTACATTAATATATTTTATGTTGTAGGAATATACTCACAACATATTATATGTTGTAAGATAAATATGCACATAATATATTATGTGTCGTAAGATAAATATATACACAATATGTTATGTGTTGTATATTAGTAACCATATAATATACTTGGAGCCCAAAGTATATACATGACAAAGATATCCATATATTACAATTGGTGCTCAACTATATACACTTATATATACCATTTCTTCTTGTAACAAAGATAGTAGCAAGAACAAGTGAAATTAAAATACTACACCTATTTTCTTATCCATTTTTTTTTTGTTATCGTAGCATTTATATTTATTTTATAATACGAACAATTTTAACTTAAAACTTTTGATAATAATATAATAATGCTCTGATACCGCTTGATAATAATGCGACAATATTTTTAATAATACTTAATAAGAAATTGTGTTAGTAATTCAAAATTTTGATAAAAAAATTCAAGATCTTAGGAGAGAAAATGGGTCAAATGTTGTAAAATGAATGTCCACATACATATATTTTGTGGTAACATATATTGTGTATAAGATAAAAATACACACATTATATAAAATGTTGTAAATTAGGTATCCATATAATACACTTGGTGCTCAAGCATATACATGAAAAATAGATATTCATGCAATATTTTTGATGCCCGAGTATATATATATATATATATATATATATATATATATATATAGTATATACCCATCTTCTTGTAACAAAAGTAAGAAGCAAGGTAAGAGTAAGTGAAAACAAAAGCATTCAATAATAGAGAAAAGCTATAGCATAATTGTTGCAACAACTTCAACAATTGTTTAATTTATGATCAAAAGTAAAGTTGAGAGGAGCTGACGAAAAAGCTGATAGTCATGACAGAGGTAAATGTGATGGGGTTGATAGCGATGACAAGTAAGAGGTGATTGTTGCAGCTGTGATAATGGCGATGATGGTGGAAGAGAAGGTAAAGTTAATAGCGAAGGAGAAAATAGTGATGATTTCTGCGGTAAAAGGGTGGGTGGAAAGATAGGACATTTGTATAAATAATAAAATTTTAAAATTATTGTTATTAACGTTGATCTTATTAAGTTGTAACCTCTACTCAATAATTAAGATTTGTTAAAAAAAAAATAATTAAAAATTGAAACTTTTTTCATCTCCCTTTTTCCCAATTTAGGACCCATTTATCTATGAGAATTACTTTATATTTATTTATTTTTAATTTTATTTTTTTTTACTATTTAGAGAAAAAAAACTGTGTTTGATTACAAATTGTCCATTTTTAAAAATCTAACTTGGAATTTATTCTAAATTTGAAAAAGTGGTCTACGTCTCCGACCCATCTTTCCAACTCACTTCCAATCATTAAGAATAATTTAATTTCAATTTTTGCTCTAATTTTGATTATTCCTTTCTTCTATCATCCACCAACTAGTGTAATTATTCAACTCCATTGCTATCACTTTCTATGTGATAAAATTCCAAAATGCAACTAGTTGTGCATGTCTCCAAGCAATCTTTCATCTTTTTATCAATTGATCGAGAAATGCATATTTGACGAAAAGAATTAATCATACAATATAGAAGAATTATTTTGAAAAATAACTAGTTTTTTTTATTATTATTAATTTTTTGTACTAATAGGTCTTTATAATAAAACTTAAAAATTAATGAAGTGTAATAACATATAATACCTTGTATATGCGATCGAATACTTAATACATACTGTCGTTTTAATTTTTTGTAATGCTATAAATACAAACCGTCCTGCTATTAAATGGGTGCACACAAGTTTTTCATTAGTAGTCGCGAAATGACGTCAACAACATACTCGTGTAAACCCACAAGTAAAGTATGAGAAGGATAAGATGTACGCAAATCTTATCTCTACTATACTTTTATGGGGTAGAGAGGTTGTTTTTGATAAACTCTCGACAAGGCAAATGTGACTAAGAATCTTCACTTCCCTTGTATCATTATGTTTGAGAAAAAAAGATCAAATCTTTGAAGGAAAAAACACTGTAAAATGCTCATGAACTTCTCTTGACAACTACTTATAAACTACAATTAAATCAAAATATACAAACTTGCTAATTATAACATCAATTAGCTTTGTTTGTATCCATTCCAAAACAAGAATCACAAAGTAAAGTGTCAAAAGAAGATTTTGGAAAACAATCTAAAATGTACCCTATCCCTCAGAAATGGATACATATTAGTTTATAGAATCAAGCTACTAGTTGAAAACTTGGAACAAAAAAAGTAACAAATTACATCATATATCAAATACCAGAAAACTTGTTCATTAAAAAGTACATATACTGTAGAGCACTTGGTAACCAATATACCAAGAATCTGTCACACTGTAAATATTTCCTTGAAGTAGAAAAAAGATGATTGCATAAGGAATTTTCACTTCTTATAAGGTCCATCTGATACCTATTCAGTCGATATCTAGTTGGCGCGGCTCTTAATAACATCAAGTCCCATTTCGGTTGGGTCGGTTGCTTGCAACTCAACCTGAATTCCATCAAGCTCTCTCTTGAATCTTTCCTTTGTACTGGCATAGATCATCTTGCTTCTCACTCTTGCTGTGTCAGGGGACCTTGAAGAGAAGAAAACGAAAAAAAAACACGTTGAGACAAAAGGAATACATAACAATTTAGTTTTAAATGGTGATGAACATTGAGAATACTACCATGCAATGAAAAAGATCCTGCTTTTCTGGCAATTCTCTGCAGTGACGAAATCAAAATCATAGACAGCATATCGACATTCATTATCAGGAAGACACGCAGTGAAATCCTCGTAACTTTGGGCTGGCTCACCAACCTTTTCAACCACAACCTGCTTTTGTTTCTCCTCTATCTTAAAAACAATAAAGCGGTGAGTTCTTTTTGCTTTCAGCTCCAAGAACCTTAACTTGCAGTCATCATGCACAGCCATCCCGGACGCTGCATTAGCCTATACAATAACCAAAATCCTCTGTTTGTGTTAGAACTTGTTCAATGTTTAATCAATCACAAGATTTTGAAGCAAAACGGTTCAATACTTCTCATAGAATTACATCAAAAGAGACCATCACAATAAATCTCCATTGTTCTCCATTCATCAATCAAGAGACACGACTCACGAGCAACAACACTAAATGTGTACTAGGTTTCATTCACGGAAATTAATGCTGTCACATTGGTCTGCAGCAGCGGAGTTTATCCTTGTCGTAACATAGCTTTCTAAGCTGTCCTAAACGAGCTCTGAACGCAAACAAGTGTAACTCCTGCATTCAGGGTAATGACTGGAAGGGGGACAGGTGGAGAGTCAAGTTTCAAGTGAATCTTGGCAGCGGATGAGCACAAGCAGGTAAACAGCTCATACAACATTTGTTTTCTCTGTCACCTCACCTACTTTAGTATCAAATAGGACACGAACTGATGGTTACATAGGAAGACCACATCATGACTTAACATTTTTTATTCTAAAGAAATGGACCTTGGGTCTAACTCAACACCAAAAGCTCCCAAGACCATATAAAGAGACCTATTAACCCTTTGTGAGCCAATGCGAGACTCAAAAAAAACCACGCACCGAGGACTGGACATCTGGCGGACAATACAAGATTTAGGTATCAGTGACACTTCTCATTGGTTTAGAACTATGTATCAATGTCAAAAGAGTGGTGGCAGCAGATTACTCTTCCAGAAACAATTGTCAATTATCATCAGCTAGAAATTTGAAAAAAGAAATGATCTTTCATTGGTCCAATTGATCTAATTCGGGTCCATTCTTATTCATATATTCCTCCAATACACGGCAGCCAAGTAATAGAAAAAGAAAATCCAAATGCAAAAAAATCTTAAACATGCATTAGATCAAAAGAGTACAGCTCCATAAACTCCCCTTAGATAGTAAATCATACTGTTTTCTCAAATTTTGTACTCGGCAGATCAAGAAAATCATCACACATTGGATCGACGGAATACCTACTAATTAAACACTTAATCTGAGCTGAACCCACATAAAATTAAACCAAAATTTTCAATTATAACAACTGCTGAACTGCCTGTACTAATCAAATACTCGGATCAACCCATAAGTTCACAAGATTTCAAGCTGAAGTAACCCCAAAGATTCCATAAAGTTCAGTTTCTTTAGCCAATACCCATATTT